AAAGATTTTTATGGTTGGCTAGTTTCCGGCAAATTCAAATATTTTTGAACGTTTTATACATTCCAGCATGTACTCCTCTTACATGTAGTCTTAACGAATCTCTTATTGCAAATGTTTTATTGCAAATTCCACAATTATAATTACGTTCTCCAGTGTGACTTATTTTATGTCGAACTACTGATTGTTTTGATGTAAATGTTTTTTGCATATCTCACATTCATAAGGACGCACGCCAGTGTGACTAATTTATGTTGAGTTAACGTTTTTTTTAATGTGAATGTTTTATTGCATATTTTGCACACATAAGGGTTTTCTTCAGTGTGAATTGCTTCATGTTGTTCTAACGCCCGCTTTGCTCTGAACGTTTTATGACATATTGGGCAACTGTAAGGACTTTCTCCAGTGTGAATTGTTTCATGGTATTTCAAATTATGCTTTGCTTTGAATTGTTTATGACATATTTCGCAACTGTAAGGATAAATTTTTTCAGTGTGAGTTCTTTCATGGTAATCAAAAGTCCGTTTTTCTTTGAATGCTTTATGACATATTTTGCAAATGTAAGGACGTTCCCCAGTGTGAGTTATTTTATGTTGTTTTAAATTAATCTTTATTTTGAACATTTTATTGCATTCTTCACATTTGTAACGTCGTTCTCCAGTGTGAACAAGTTCATGTCTTTTTAATGATTTTTTTCCGGCGAGTGTTTTATTGCATATTTTACAACTAACAGGATGTTTACGGGAATGAATCACTCTATGTTGATTTAAATTTCTCTTTTGTGGGAATGTTTTATTACATATTTCACATTTATGAAGCTTTAAATTATCACTTGTACTTTTTCTAGAAATGCTTTCGAATGATTCGCTCGAATTACTTGAATTACTGGTGTCTTTATTAAATATGTGAGGTTTTTCATTGAAACTTGTATTAGACGTAGCATCTAGCCCATCAATCTTTTCTTGTTTAATTTCCTCATCAATAGTAACCTCAGATTTTAGGAATTGCTGTAGGCATATTTCATCATTCTCAATACTCATAAGTGATGTGCATTCATAATCATCAACCTCTTGTTTCACTTGAGGATCTTGTTTAAAATCTTGCTCATCAACTGTTTCTTGCTTTATATCCTCCTCAACCGCAACCTCTGATTTTAAAAATTGCTGTAGACAAATTTCATCATTCTCTATACAAATACCTGTTGTATTTTCATAATCTTCAAGTTCTTGTTTAACTCGAGGATATTCGATTGTTTCAATTTTGATTATTGTGTTTGAATTTGTTTCATCAGACATTTTTGACTTTTGTAGGTTATGGCACATGGCAATTGATGTCTAAACATTACTTCGTTCCTAAAAGTCGATACGACTTGTAATTTATGTGTTGTGAACGTGTAATAAATATATTTTGATATTCATCAGCATGTTATAATACTAACACTGACTTTTTCGTTATTATTTTATTATTTCACTTGTTTCATTTACGCACTTTGACATTTTGACAGTTCAACTTCGTTTAGGTTAGACAACATTAAAAAGATTTCAACTGCAAGTTTATCAAGGCTACCAAGAATTTAGAAATTCTGACTTTGAATAATAAAAATATAAACGAAATCGTTCTAAATTAATATTGAATTAAAATCTATCTTTTTTCATGTAACTATATCACGTATAATTTTAAATTTCGCCGCCGTTAAATTCGAAGTTGAAGTTGTTGAAGCAAACAAAAATATAAAATAATATCAAAAACATCGGAGTAAGTGTTATATTATATTAATAATTATCAAAAAATATTCATTCACACGTATATACACCGATATACGTGTCTATTACACGTATATAAACCTATATTATATTTATTTTGTAACGATCAATATTTTAGTGTACTGAATGTTTGACTGTTCAAATGTTTCAAATGTTTTTGATAATTATTAATTAATACTTGATTTTTAATACTAAAATCAGTTCTAGTTGACAAAATAAATAAATCTTAGTGTGTTTTAATACATATCTGCATACGCTCTGCAAAAGTAGATGCTTTTTTGAGGTTATGAAATTTCCATACTTAGTAGTTTCTGTTTACTTTGATCATCTTAGATGAAAATGCATTTTCTTTATTTTATTATTTATTAAATAAAATTTCAGATAACAATGGCTGTTTTTCTCTCTGATTCCATTCTGGAGGTTAAAACCGAACCACTAGAATTTCCAATTGAAGACATTAAATGTGAAATAAAAAAAGAGCCTGAAGATGATGAAACATGTGTGCAGAGATTCATGAATTCCGATATAACAATAGAAGATGAAGTCAAACAGGAGTTGATTGAATCATCTCATTATGAATGTACAATATGTAATGGATTATTTATAGGGCTGCGTGATTTAGAACAGCATATGCTGATACATAGTCATGATTGCCCATTTTGTTCAGACACTTTTCCAGATCCAAGCGCCTTAGATATACATCTGAAAATTCATGCAGATGAAAAGTCTTTTGCGTGCACAATTTGCAATAAAGCATTTGAAGTAAAATTTGATTTTGATCAACACGTTTGTGTTTGTAATGGAGGGACAGATTCAACATTGAATAAATTATCTGATAAACAAAAACAAAGTAAGAGTACACAGATACAAAGTAAGAGTATACATCTGAAAATTCATGCAGATGAAAAGTCTTTTGCGTGCACAATTTGCTATAAAGCATTTGAAGTAAAATTTGATTTTGATCAACACGTTTGTGTTTGCAATGGAGGGACAGATTCAACATTGAATAAATTATCTGATAATCAAAAACAAAGTAAGAGTACACAGATACAAAGTAAGAGTATACATCTGAAAATTCATGCAGATGAAAAGTCTTTTGCATGCACAATTTGCAATAAAGCATTTGAAGTAAAATTTGATTTTGATCAACACGTTTGTGTTTGTAATGGAGGGACAGATTCAACATTGAATAAATTATCTGATAATCAAAAACAAAGTAAGAGTACACAGAGACCACATAAATGTAAAGTATGTAATAAGAGTTTCAAATATTTAAGTTACTTGAAAAAACATATGCTTATTCACACTGAAAAACGTCCTTACGAATGTGAAATATGCAGTAAGACATTCAGAAAAATGTCCATCTTGAGAGCACATAAACTCAATCACGGTGGGGTTCGTCCTCACAAATGTGAAACATGCAATAAGACATTTGCTCGAGTGAATAGTTTGAATAGACATGTGCTTTTTCACACTAGTGAACGGCCTCACAAATGTGAAATATGCTCTAAGACATTCCGAACAATAGCTGCCTTGAGAGCACATAAACTCATTCACAGTGGGGTTCGTCCTCACAAGTGTGAAATATGCAATAAGGCATTCACGCAAATGGCTTTATTGAGAGCCCATAAACGCATTCACAGTGGGGTTCGCCCTCACAAATGTGAAATATGCAATAAGACATTCAGAAAAATGTCCATCTTGAGAGCACATAAACGCATTCACAGTGGGGTTCGTCCTTATAATTGTGAAATATGCTCTAAGACATTCAAACTACGGGATACTTTAAATAGACATAGGCTCATTCACAGTGGGGTTCGTCCTCACAAATGTGAAATATGCTCTAAGACATTCAGAACAATAGCTGCCTTGAGAGCACATAAACTCATTCACAGTGGGGTTCGTCCTCACAAATGTGAAATATGCAATAAGGCATTCACGCAAATGGCTTTATTGAGAGCCCATAAACGCATTCACAGTGGGGTTCGTCCTCACAAATGTGAAATATGCAATAAGGCATTCAGAAAAATGTCCATCTTGAGAGCACATAAACGCATTCACAGTGGGGTTCGTCCTTATAATTGTGAAATATGCTCTAAGACATTCAAACTACCGGATAATTTAAGTAGACATAGGCTCATTCACAGTGGGGTTCGTCCTCACAAATGTGAAATATGCGATAAGATATTCCGAACAATAGCTGCCTTGAGAGCACATAAACTCATTCACAGTGGGGTTCGTCCTCACAAATGTGAAATATGCAATAAGGCATTCACGCAAATGGCTTTATTGAGAGCCCATAAACGCATTCACAGTGGGGTTCGTCCTCACAAATGTGAAATATGCAATAAGGCATTCAGAAAAATGTCCATCTTGAGAGCACATAAACGCATTCACAGTGGGGTTCGTCCTTATAATTGTGAAATATGCTCTAAGACATTCAAACTACCGGATAATTTAAGTAGACATAGGCTCATTCACAGTGGGGTTCGTCCTCACAAATGTGAAATATGCGATAAGGCATTCAGTACAATGGTTGCCTTGAGAGCAATAAACTCATTCACAGTGGGGTTCGTCCTCACAAATGTGAAATATGCTCTAGGACATTCACACAAATGGGTAACTTGAGTGCACATAAACTCATTCACACTGGGGAACGACCTCATAAATGTGAAACATGCAATAAGACATTTGCTCGAGTGAATACTTTGAATAGACATGTGCTTATTCACACTGGAGAAAGGCCTCACAAATGTGAAATATGCGATAAGGCATTCACGGAAATGGCTTTCTTGAGAGCACATAAACTCATTCACACTGGGGAAAGACCTCACAAATGTGAAACATGCAATAAGACATTTGCTCGAGTGAATACTTTGAATAGACATGTGCTTATTCACACTGGAGAACGGCCTCACAAATGTGAAATATGCGATAAGACATTCACACAAATGGCCAGTTTGAGAGCACATAAACTCATTCACAGTGGGGTTTGTCCTCACAAATGTGAAACATGCAATAAGACATTTGTTCGAGTGAATAGTTTGAATAGACATGTGCTTATTCACACTGGAGAAAGGCCTCACAAATGTGAAATATGCTCTAAGACATTCAGAACAATAGCTGCCTTGAGAGCACATAAACTCATTCACAGTGGGGTTTGTCCTCACAAATGTGAAATATGCTCTAAGACATTCACACGAGCGAGTAGTTTGAAAACTCATATGCGCGTTCACAGTGGTGTATGGCCCCATAAGTGTACAGTATGTGATAAAACGTTTCCACGACTAAGCACCCTGAAAAAGCACATCGTTACACACAACAAGAGGTAGGTAATATAAATAAAAGGGATTTTGTCAAATGGCTGTGCAATGAATAATATTTTACTTGTGAAAAATGTTTGTAAAAATGGAGTTGAAAGATTTATTAATTAATTTTTGAAAGTATATTTACAATATGAATTATGTTTTTATGTTTTATAAATATAAACAAACAATGTCAATGATTGTTTAATTGTAATAGTGTTTTATATCTGCTGTAGGTTTAATTAACTTCCCGTAGGGTAAGTTATTGTAATGGGCCGAAAATCGGAATTGAAAATTTTAACATTTCTCGACGTTTTGAAGGTTTCTGAACGTTTTGGCATACCTCAAAAAAAATGGATGTGTGTGTGTGTGTATGTGTGTGTGTGTGTATGTATCTATGGATACAAATTTCCAGTCACGTTTTAGGGCGCACGGATCAACCGATTTGAATGGTTCAAAAAACATTCGATTCCTATTGATAGGGAGAAGAGCTGATTAGTTTTTGGCAAAGGCAGGTCCAGCCGTTTCGAGGATACGGAGCAAAGAGTGCAGAAAATAGAAATCGAATTTTTGAGAGAACGGAGTATCCGATTTGAATGATCTAAAAAACATTCAATTAGTAATGATTGGGAGAAGTGCTTATTAGTTTTTGGCAAAGGCAGGCGCAGCCATTTCGAAGATACGGAGCTAAATATGTAAAAAATGGCAGTTTTTGAGAGAACTAAGCGTCCGATTTAAATGATTCAAAGAACTTTCTGCTTGTCTTAACAAAATAATTGATTTTGGAAAAAAAAATTTTGTTCCATTTTTTTTTTTTTAGTTTTTTGTATATCGAAAATATTTCAGATTTTATTTTTAATTCTGACTATAGTTCTAATATACTTTACAAATAATTTCAACTTTGCAATTCAGTTTATATAATTTTTATAAATATTAGACAATGTAATTACAATATTAATAATAATCTATTTGAAAACATTCAGTATTCCTCGAACATTTCGTTACGGTACGGGAAGTTCCAGCAATTTGCCTTAAGGCACGATGCCATAATTGCCTCAAGACAGAATTCCACTTACAGCTAGTTATTATTTTGTTTGAATAAATTTTTGCAATTCATAACAATTTGAATGTTATTTTGTCCATATTTTATATTTTCACAATTTTACTAATTTAAATAACTTTTGAACATTTGAAGGTAACATAATATATTTTAATAAAATATATTTAAATTAAACAAGTTTTTTTTATTTAATTACTTTCCTGAACAGGAACTTTGTGCAAATAATATTAATAAATTATTTGACATTTTTTTTAGAAATATGTTTATAATATTTTATTTATAATCATCATATTAATCTGCATCTTCAGTAGTATATGATCTCCTTGTCTACCAGTTTACTTGTTTAATCGTTTAAGTGATTACCTATGCAAGTAATTTTCATAGATAAAATTTAAATTTTAACATTTGACTAGATTCTTATTTAATTTGACTTAAATTTTTATAAGATTCTTTTGAAGTTCTTAATAGATTTTTATGAGATTTCTATTGATTTTTTATTAGGCTTTTGCAAGACTTATTTATATTTAAAAAGTTAAGTTTTGAATTGAAACTATTATATTTGTAATATATTTAAAAAAAATATTATTTTTTAACTAGATTCTTATTAATTTGAGCTAACCTCTTATAAGATTTTTTTGAAGTTCTTAATAGATTTTTATAAGATTCTTAATAAATTTTTATTAGGCTTTTGCAATACTCATTCATATTTAAAAAATTATTTTAAAAAAAATATTTAAAATTCTATACACTGTATTATAGATAATTTTATCAGCTTTCTAAAGATATATAACACCAAAATAAATATAATTCAAATCAAACCATTAAAGTTAATATCAGACGCTACACCTACAGATTTCAATTTTGAAGTTTAACAATTTATTTTTACATAATTTTGTGCTAACAGTTATATGTTGTTAGCAGAGGCGTACCTAGGGGGGGGGGCGGTCCGCCCCGGGCGGCACTTATTTTGGGGCGGCATTTTTTAGTTTACTTATACATAGTTGTAAAAAGCAACTTATTCATTTCATATTTATTAACTTCCGTAGGGTAAGTTATAGTAATGGGCCGAAAATCGAAAATGAAAATTTTTGCATTTCTTCACGTTTTGAAGGCTTCTGAACATTTTGGCATACCTCAGAAAAAATGGATGTGTGTGTGTTTTGTGTGGCATGGATTAACCGATTTTAATGGTTCAAAAAACATTCGATTCCCATTGATAGGGAGATGTGCTGATTAGTTGTTTGGCAAAGGCAGGTCTAGTCTAGCCGTTTCGGAGATACAGAGCAAAGAGTGCAGAAAATAGAAATCGAGTTTTTGAGAGAATGGAACATCCGATTTAAATGATCTAAAAAAATTCAATTTGTAATGATGAGGAGAAGTGATGATTAGTTTTTAGCAAAGGCAGATCCAATCGTTTCAGAGATACCGAGCAAAATGTGCAAAAAATATCTGTTTTTGAGAGAACTAAGCATCTGATGTGAATGATTCAAAAAACTTTCTACGTGGATTTTAATTTGAATTCTGCCTAAAGTTCAAATGCTCACTTATATACTTGAAATAAATAATTTTAACTTTGTAATGCAGTTTATATATTTCTTATAAATATTAGACGACGACCTTCATTTTAAATTTGATTGATTGAGTTTTGTTTATTTACTTTTCTGTAAACATATATAAGTTACTGTATTTATAATTATCTATTTGAAAACATTTAATTTCCTCAAATATATCATTACGGTACGGGAAGTTCCAGCAATTTGCCTTAAGTTACAATGCCATACACCGCTAGGTTTTTACTTCATTTTATTATTTTTCTTTAATTTTTTAATTTTTGTTACTTATCATATATTGTATACCTCATTTGATTGCTTCTTTTATAACTATGTTAACAGTTTTATATTATAAGACTCTGAGTTTTGATTGACAAATGAATAAATAAAAGTAAACTAGTTGGTTTGGTATTTAGCCTTGAGGCAAGTTACATGAACTTCCCGATATGTGTAAATAATCGACTTGATCAAAAAAAATGTGTAAATAATATACTTCATCAATCCTACTTTAAAAAACGATAATAATTTTAGTAAAGTTTGACGAATTTTTAAAATTAAACTACTTGTCGTAATGCCGTAATATTACAGTAAGTTCTATAAGACCATGATGTATATCGCCAAAAAAAAGTTCCATGAAAATCGGCTTAAATTTTTTTTTCAACAGTTCATTACAAGAAAACGGCTCGGTAGATTTTCACCTAAAATTAATCAGCATCATTCCCAACTAATATCTTTCGAACAGTTTTTGATTTTTTAAAATCGGTTCGGTAGGATGAGCTTAAATATGGACGAAAAGTTTAACACTTTTTTTTAAATTGCAAAGAAACGGCTTGGCAGATCGTCGCACAAAACTGACAAACGATAGTCCTCACCGAAATGCATCAAATGGCTTTTAAATTTCTGAAATCGGTTCAGGCGCTTTTGAGAAAACGTCGATCAAAAGTCTAATTTTGACAAATGTCAAAAAAAACTATACCAATTTTTGCAAACTTTGACGAATTTTTAAAGCTAAACGAGTTGTCGTAGGGCCGTAATATTTTAGTATGACCTAGAAAACTATGGTATCTACCGTCAAAAAAAATCATAAAAATCGTCGAATTTTTTTTTTAAAACGTTATTTCAAGAAAACGGCTCGGCCGATCTTTACCAAAAACTAATCAGCACGATTCCCAACCAATATCTATCGAATGGTTTTTGAATTTTCAGAATCGATTTAGAATTGCGGGCTAAAACGTGGGCGAAAATTTTTTCACTTTTCTGCAATTTACAACGAAACGGCCCGGCCGATCGCCGCACAAAACTCAGAGACGATAGTCCTCATCGAGATACATCGAATGGCTTTTAAATTTTTAAAATCGGCCCAGTCATTTTTGAGAAAACGTCGATTTACGGCAAAAAATCTGTTCACATACACACACACACACACACACACACATACACACACACACACATACTTTTTCCAAATTTGGTCTCATTCGATTCAGAATGGCTCGAAACGTCGAGAAAACATAAAATTAGCGAATCGGATTTTTTGATGAAAACAAACCTCTCCTTCGGGAAGTTAAAAATATGTAATATTTTAAGCATTGGCTTCATTTTTCATCAAAATTGGGAAAGGGAATTTAGAAAACATATTAAGCAGCAGATAATTTATTGCCATTTAACAAATTTTTAAAAAATAGCAAAAAACACAGCAATGAATTAGCTGGGAGTTTTACTGAACATAGTCAGATAGTTGTTTGTTTGATTTGTGTTATTTGTTGTAATATAATTGGTTTGGTTTCCACAATATAAGTACTCAAACTCAAACTGAACCTTTTGCCTTAACCTACATACATCGTCTATATATCATTTTGTGACATTATCCCAACTTTATTGGATTGGACAACTACTGAGTTCATTTAGAAATCCATATAAGAAAAGTCAAAACAATTATTGAATTTCCTATGTGTGACAGATTGTAATTAAAAATATATATAAAAAAAATATTTCAACTTTCATATACCGTGTATATGTCTACCGTAACTTTTCGTCTGTAACTTTTCCCACGTGGAAATTCCACGATTCCGATGAAAGCTCAAAATAGCGCCTGTTCTCCTGGCAATGTGCACGAGCTTTCCATGAGCTTTGCGCCACACGTGACAACTTTCCCGAAAGCTCTCTTTCATACTCACGCTGGATAACGCGATGTGAAAGCTCCACGTGCTTCGGTAAAAAATACCGAGAAAAGGCTTTTTAGGGGGATAACGGGAAATATTTAAATGTTTTATTTAAATAATGAAATCTGTCATATATTTAATTAATTTAGATATTTTGTGTGTATATTTTGAAAACTGTATTTATAAGTATTTCGAAGAAGTTTAAGGTAAAGAAGAAGTTTTCGAATTTAAGATAGGCTGGGCTGTTCTTAGTAATTA